AACAGAATTGCAGAGGAGCAATCCAAGCACACTTCCCCTTGCCTGCAGTCCCTCTGGGACTCTGAGGGAGTGTACATCTGGCATCGCCAGCTCCATGGTGCTACCTTCCCTCTGCACCGTGGGGAAATACCTCACCTGGCAAGTGCCCACACGAAGTTAGCCACTGCTTAAATCACCATTATGCTTTATGCATAATGATGAAACTCGTCTTTCTCAAGTCCCAACACAAATGGAAGAAACACTAAAAAGCAGAATGAAGAGTGACTTAGTAAGTAGTGGTATTACTGAAACCTGGACTCCTAGATTAGTTGTGTTCTGTCTCTCCCTATGCCTGTCTCTTACACGTGCCTGGATTAATCCCAGTTCTTCTCACATTCCCTCTGGTATCTCCAACCAACAAGAGCACATGATTTCAGTTATCCCTGCATGATCAAGTCCCATTAGCCTTTCTCTTACTGAAGCAGCAATGCAGGTCTCCCTCCTCTACTGCTGGTTTCAACCAAGTTGGAAAGAATGTAGTTGTCCCCGAGACTTTTATTCCCTTCAGAAGCTGGATAATTGGATAATGGATCCACGTGAAAATGACCAGACAGCTGATGCAATTATGTACACATTGTTTCTTTAGGAATCCACACTAAAAGCCTTCCAACTCACAGGCGCTTTACTTGAACAGATAATCAATGGGATTTAAATGAATCCTCAATACCACTTTCATGGAGATAAATAACCCTCCAATAAACTTTGAAATCCATATTTTGTTGTAGGTATAAGTAACTTTAATGACATATAAACTGTATTAATGAATTCAGCATATTTATTTTCAGAAACTTATTTGTTCAAGCACACAGGCAGGATCTCATGTGATGGTAAGTTCTGATAACACAATATTTTTGTCTGCATCCTTTATTATCTTGCTACTCCATGAAACTTAATAAGGACAGAGAGAACAGAAAAGACATAGATTTCTTTCTTCTAATGTCCAGCAATCACTAGTGGAGTCAAGTACATAGTAAATTTTTATGAATAAGGCTCACTTTTTTCTTTTACTTTTTTTTTTTTTTCTCCTCAGACCTGAAGACTTGTTTGGAAAATTTGAGGCGAGTATGTTATAGAAGGAAGAAAAACACATTTCCTATGATACACAATAGCTTTTCCCACATATGCTAATAACTCAAATACTGATTAATTTTGAAAGTTCAGCAATTGCACAGAATTCTCAGTGAGGCAGAAATTTATCCCAAAAAGAGAAAATTTCATTTGAACTCCAAAAATTTTGGGGTATGTAAAATATTTCAGTTACGTACAATAGAGGAATGAGTTCAACTAACTGAGACAAAGTATATATTCATGTAGAACTTGTTAACTCTAGGCAGATAAAGAGTATCTTTTGACTTCCCATGTGGTTAGTAATTAACATTGTATATATGCATATAGATGCAAATATATATAAAGGATGGGCATGAAATAAGGTCTCTGCTCTTTACAGAACAGAACACAGTCTCCATTGAAAACATACTAATGTGGCATTCTCTTCTATGGAAAAGGAATAGAGTTTGTCTACATGGATTCATGCCTTTTTCTTTGAACTGAAACCTGACAAATGCTTTTCTATAGACTGCAATCACCTTCACGTGTCTAAGTTGCTGTTCAGCTGCAGCGAGAGAACTCCCCTGCATTACCTTGCTTATTTCTAATCTGGACATGTGTGTGAACATAACTGTGAATCAATTCTGTTGTTTATAGTCGAGGGCTATTTTATTTCTAGGTCTTCGTTACCCTTATCAAATAGCTAACAAGGTATCAGAGCTCAATGCCCACGTCTTGTACATGAGCTGAAAATGAAAACACGGTGCAAATGATTTGGACGCCTTTTCCTTTTATCTGCTTTGAAGCAACTTCTCAGACCCCCAAGTTCAGCTTTAGAGGACGGCACGCAATCAGAAGAAAGTGTCCCCCCGCTCCCGCCCGCCGCGGAGCCCCAAAGCGGGAAACGGCGGCGCTGCCTCCCCCCCCGCCACCTCAGCGCACCGACCGGCCCGGCGAGGAGCCCCCTCGGGGCGGGGTAGGGTTCAACCGAGAAGCCCCGG